GGGGGGGGGGGGGGGGGGGGGTTTAGAAGTGTGTTTGATTGATTTTGATTTTAATATTAATTTTTTTTAAGGAATATATTAATTTAGTTGGTCACACACAAACCAGATTTTTATCTGAAAAAAATAACCACACAATTAAAAATGTTATTCTATAAGATTAATAAATTAGTATTTTTAATGCCAAATTTTTAATTTTATAGAACTTATAAAATAAACTTTTTTATGATATGAATTGCAAAAACTAGTTTAGGCCGTAAAATCTAAAATTGATTCTTACTTGGCATCGTAAAATTAATTTATGATAATATCATAATCCACTTAATTAGTTTCCCTTTGCATTACATGATCCAATGATTACAAATAAATTATTGTCGTAAGTATTACTTTCACGTGATACTATCATAAATATCAATTTCGACAGTGAATAAGATTTAATAAGTTAATCTTTATGAGGCGAACAAAACCTGCATTCATTGGTCTTTTCAAAATATTTCATTCCATTCAAAACTAATGGACCAAGAGAGCACACAAAATTGACAGCCGAAAGGTTCTTTGTGCTTTCAATGTCATTACAACCCTTAATGTTATATTTTTAAGAACAATATGTTTAATTTAGGGTTGCTTATGAAGCGAACATACCAAAATAAAGACGGGTTTAGGGTTCTCATCACCGTTGGATCGAGGATTATCAGCAATGACTCATTTGAGAGGTGGTTTCGTGCCCGGATGACTAAGCTCAAGTCTAGAAAAAGGTGCAAGGGAATTTAAAATTGAAGAAAAATTATGCTTTGGACCCCTCAATTAACCCTTTTTTTATATTATCCACTCAGCTATTATTTATTTGGCAATTGTATTTCAGGGCAAAAAGATGTTTGCATTTGGAACAATTTGAAATAATTTAAATAGTTAAGGGGATCATATGAGAAATTCAATAGTTTAAGGGGAAAAATAAATTCAAGTTCATAAGGGGTTGAAAGTATAATTTGTCTTAAAAATCGTATGAAAAAAGGGGAGGAATATAGATAATTGAATATATAGTCGAAAAGGAGGGGGTTGGTTTGTGGGAGGAAGTTAATGAGGGGGAATGAATCAAAGGGTAGCTCAATAATAGGGACTCTCCGTAAATTCAGTGGTTGCAAATTTGAATTTTGATAATTTTTTAGGGTCATGCCCAGGAGAGATTTATTTTTTATGAGTACCCTTATCCTAATTTAGATTATCTATTTTTGACTGAACTAGAAAGAGTATTAGTCGAGATGTATGTAAAATGACTTAGACACTCTGGACACCTCAAACCATTAAATTAAAAATAAAAATAGAAAATAAGGTAACTAGTTTTAATGCGCGAGTAGGAGATATAACATGTTGTCTATGAGATATAACATGTTGCTTATGAAATTGGACCTCGCCAACAGATGGGTATAATCTATATAAGAAAAGTCAACAAAAAAAACAACTTATTTTTCGCAATTAAATAGTTTTAAATTTTATTTTAAAATTAATTCGACAGTTAATATTAACTCTCCAAATTAAAAAGGGAAAACATATCCCCTAAAAGTGTGTTTGGGGTGAATTTTCAAAAGTATTTGTAAGACTTATGACCTCTCATAAGCATTTAAAAAAATATATATAATATTTTGAACAACTTATTTTAATTACTTCCAAATAAGTCAAAAATAGTTTTACTACTTAAATAAGTAAGTACATCAAAAACAAATAAATAAATAACTTCCACTTCTTGAAAATAATTTCTCTACAAAATACTTCACTATCACCAACACCGTCGCTGCTACCCCATCACCCCCCCCCCCCCCCCCCCCCCCACCCTTACT